GGGCTATCTCAGAGTCAGGATGACCGAATTGTAGCAGGTCAATAGCCTATGTTATACTACATTTAAGATAACAGCACTATATTTAACCATCGACAGATACACATCTATCGATATTTAACCATATCGGTGGCTGGGGAGGTTGTCGATATGTGTCGTGCATTTTGAGTAATAGAAGAAGAGGAGGTAGATCGATACATTTTAAACTGGATTGTGAACGCGAGAAGACGTGTGTCAAATTAAGAGATTAAGAAATAAAGAAATTGTATAAAAGGTCTACTACAATCTCAGAAGTGGGATAAAGTACACAAATTTTCTAGTTAAACAAAATGAATTTAAGTATAGACGAAGTACATGTATATGTGGTGCAGTTAAAGAATTGGCTAGCTGCATTGGGCTTGTCGACCCAAGGGTGCAAGACTGAACTTGTCGCTCGCCTCAATGGCGTGCCCGCAAATTTGCGCGGCAGCGCCCCCGAATTGGAACAGAGTGAGGAGGAGTCAGCTCAAACTGGAGTATCTCAGACATTGCAAATGCAACAAGAGAAAATAGACAGGAACGAAGAAGTTTTACGAGAGCTAAGCGAGCAGATCGACGCAGCGAAGAAGCAGCTAAAAAATTTTCACACACGACAATTGGACAGAGACGGCAACAGCAAGCGTGACGAAATTAACGAAATGGCGTGGATGCAGAAGCTGAATTCGGGGAACGCACTACTGACGCGCGCCAAAAGAACGCCGGTGAAAATTGCGTAATAAATGAAACGAACAATGATAAAGTGATGTCAATGATGTTCAAATTAGCTAATGAAATTATGTCGGAATTCCCCGGGGAGGAGTCTATTAGCAACTGGATAGAGCAATTGAATAATGTATCTCAATTATATCAACTAACGGACATGCAAAAAAAGATGCGGTGCATGGCCAAATTAAAAGGGAAAGCCATGCAGTGGATACATTAGGATCTATCGACGATTGTGCAACCGTTGGGCACACTACTGGATGGATTGGCAGCAGCATTCGAAATCAAGATATCCAAGGCCGAAATGCGTAGCAAGTTTGGGGCACGTATATGGAATGTCGACAAGAAGTTTACCCTGTATTATGAAAAAAAAAAAAAAACACGTTTAGCAAAGGAAATCCATTTAGATGTAGACGAGCTACTGGATGGTCTCATTGAAGGAATCCCAAATGCAGTTTTACGCGCGCAGGCCAGGATACAGTGCTTTGAAGACTCCAGCAAATTGATAAGGGCTTTTGCAGAGGCGCGTCTGCCACTGCAACCATCTACTAGAGGAAAAGATACAACAGCAGTGGGACCAGGGCTCGATAATGCAATAAAGGAGACGCGTTGCTTCAACTGCAACTATAAGGGACATTGGGCAAAAGATTGTCAGCCCAAGAGGAAGAAGGGTACGTGCTACCACTGCGGCGCTAAGGATCATATGGTGGCACAATGCACGAAGAGGAAGGATGATTTTGGAAACAATTTCGTAAGATTAATCAATATATATTTTAAGACCAAAGATAAAGCTTCAATTATTGCAGAATGCCTCATAGATTCGGGAAGTCCCATTTCGTTTATTAAAAAATCGTGTTCCATTTGGAATAAAACTTGAAGCAACGCAGAAAATTACTTTGGGCTAAATGAAAGCCAGTTGAATGCTATTGGAAAAACATTTTCAAGAAGTTTGAAAAAATAAATTTTTGGTTAATAGTTGTGTCTGATGAATCTATGAG